TTTCCTTGCCTGGCAAAAAGTAACTTTTCCAGTAAGACATTCAGTAAACTTTCAAGTCATTCACAACACTGATCATGGGAGCAGAGAAGAGAAAATACAGCAAACATGACATGGACCTCATGTTTCTCTACCTGGGCCTGACAAAGTCAGCTGAAAAAAGGGCAAGTCCTGTATGGATATAATGGGACTTTAATCATCCTTTTTGCTGAGCTACAACAGCCTGGGAGCCAAACACCACTCAGCCTTGAGCCTGCAGACCTCTGCAACAGAAGCCCAGGTGCCATTTTTTCAACAAGCTTGCTCTACTGAAAACAAGCCTCTTCACGTGAGCTACAACAGGTGCTCTTACGCACAGCTCACACAGGCATGCCCTTGGTCATTAATCTTCTGACACAGCACAGAAAACACAATATACACTTCAGGATGTCGAAAGACTGGTCAAAGCAAGCAAAAAAAAAAAAAAAAAAGGCTTGTGTTATCAAAATTCAGGCATATGACAGATCCCATTTCAGTTTGGTGGCTACGATCATTCCTAGTTTCATATGCTGGGCATCAAAATAGTGAAGCAGGGCAAACACTTCAAAGAAAATTCAAACACTGATTATCTTCATCGTACAAATATGATTAAAAACAGAAGAGTGTGTGTTTGTGGATATGTTATCTGATACAGGTTATATAAACAGTATATTGTTTCTTATCTCCACTTGTTTAAATAGTGAAACAAATCCACACGTGGGTGACTAGGACTTCAAAAAGACTATTAGTTACAAGAGAATCATCAACATTATCCAAGAGGGAAACTAACTGCAGATAAACATATCCAACAGTATTTAATGTAATATACACTTGTAAAACAACCTAACAGAACTTGCTGAAGGGTTCCTTATGCTTTATCACAGTATTCCTTCAATGAGTTTTAAACCCTGAATAATATTAGAGCACAGGCAATTTTAACACCAAAGGAAAAAAAATTCTTTATCATCTTATAAGCACTGATGCAATGGACGGCAATTGCCCTTTGGAATCACCATTGCTAACTTGAGCTCTTTGAAGATGAGGAGTAACTGAACGGGAATGCACATCTGGGGTTGGCTTTTTTTTTCTGGTAAGACCCAAGTCAAAACATGGTTATGACTCTGGAAGATGTTGAGTTCCTTTCAACAAGCTGGTCAAAGAAACACCTACTGAACTCCAAAAACGCTAGCCAAACACACAGGAACAGGAGCACTCATGCTTAACACTGATTTTGGCAAGTACTCAGGCAGATGAGGGAGATGGGGCTTGGCACCCAGCAACATCAAGGCATCAGGCAGTACATATCAGGAAAGAGGCAGGGTATTTAAAGCTGAAGAGATACTGAAAACACCAGAGAGCAGGCATTAAATGCCAGCAGAATTCAGCTATCGTTACCCTACAAGAAGCATTATGCTTGTTTAAAACACAGAGTTTTTCCTTATGAATGAGGAAAAAAATCCTGAAGGAAATATGTCAGCACTTCAGAAATCCTCTCTCCTATGAACACTAACAACTAACATGCTCTTAACTCCTTTCTAATTCCATATAAATCAAATGTTTTCCTTATCAGTACAAAGAAATGAGCTATAGTTAGAAACTAGCTGAGATAACCTGTCCCATCTGACCAAGGCCGCATGGGCTCTATCACCTTATCAATAAAGAAATCCTCAGTCCCCTCCAGCCTCCAGACCAGAGATGGAGGAGGTTAACGCATGCTTCTCACGGGCATTTTGCTCTGTAGTTCAGCCAGTCGTGCACTGCACGGGATGCAGAGTTTTCCTACACGTGCATATATAGCTTGGCTTTCCAGGTAACCCTAAGTGTGAGCTCAAGGCTGGGACCTCCATCCGTTTAGCTTCAAAGTCCCACGGAGCACTTCAACCACAGTTTTCAAAGTCCTAAAACGTGACCAAAATAAGACTCCAGGTGCTGTGTGCCTGTTCACAAACCAGACTACTCAATGCTGTTTATTTCACTGAGGGCTCTAAGGTTTCAAAACACCCAGCTGTTTCAGTATTTCGGTGGCTATCTTCCCTGCTTCCCACAGCAGAATACAGCTTTCGCATCATAGAATCACAGAATGCTTTGGGATGGAAGGAACCTTTGAAGGTCATCTAGTCCATCCCCCATCTGTATGCTCCCTTCCTGTAAGCTTTGCTTCTAGCTTCATTTGGAACGATTTTAGCATAAGTTTTTGAAAAGATCGAGGGAAATTTCAATCTGCAAGGCAGAGGTCTTAGAAAGTTATGTCCTTCCAACAGCAGATGGTTTTGTAGTAGATGCTACAGTGCATAGTTTACAGGGGTTATCATTACTGTAAGCTTTACCCTAGGGAGGTTCACACTGAGCTTTTCTCTGAACATTTTCTATCATCATCGCTGCTAAAGGAGTACACTGGAGAACATACAGAAGAAAAGCTTCTTCAGTCTGAATGTACCAAAATACCTAGATTGCATCTAAATAATGATGACTAATAACCTTTTGTGAGCTTAGGAACTTCAAATGTTACATATAAAGCAATAATCATGACAGTAATCATAATCATCAAAATCTTTTAGAATTTTTGATAGGTATGCAAAAGAAATTTGTACATAGTCATACACCTTTAAAATTCGAACGTCCATCACTAAATGCATTATTGTTGTCACTTAAATTAAAACAGATACTGCTTTCCAAGTCAGCGAAGCTTTCAAACTACATAAAACCAGCTGCTCCTAGCATTAGCTTCTGCAAAGCTTGAGACCAAACGAGCAGTTCAAAGCTCAGTAACTGATGCAAAATGCTACCGCAAAATGAATTACTTGTGTCAGCGCATCAACCTTCCTACCTTCCCACCTCAGACTCTGTTCCAGTGCCCAGCTCCAAGAAGACAAAGGAAACTGCTAAGACCAATAGCTCTGAAACGGGACCAGCAAAGCTCTGGTTTGCTTGGCAGCAGTAAGCGCATGTCTGTTTTGTAATCCAATCCCTTTTAAATCAGGAAGGCTCCAAAATCTACTAAAGAACTGGAAGGAAAACGCATGAAAGCCACCAGTGCCTTTGTACCACACGAGCTTTGTTATAGCAAAATTTTCCTTTCAAAGGGAAAGTCCTAAGCTTCTTTCCACAAACTACCATCCCAAAATATCACCTGTGATTTCAATGGCACCTAATCACACTATTTTACGTAAACCCTAGGTTTTGGCTCAGAATTACTTAACTCTATTTCTGGATTCGGTGCTAATCCAAAACCAGATTTGTTTTGCAAGCTGATTTGTGGGTTTAAATTTTCAAGTCCTTGGAGTAAACCTTACAGGTTTTAAAAGGTTGCATATATAGTGGCGTGGCTGTAAGTAGGAAAAAAAGTAGTGTAATTCCAAGCAAATATTTACAAACAGGACTTAGGAAAAAAACCATCTACCTACTTAAAAATGCTTGAATTAGTGTAAGGCTAGCAGAGACAATGTTTCCACAAGATCTGGGTGGAACCACGTCAAAAGACACATACAACATTGGCAAGTTGTGGTCAGCATCAGAAAACCCAGCTGTGTTTTTATGAGCATCGTACAGCGGGGAAAAAAGCTATCTTTCCCACAGTTGATGCTGCAGCTGAAAGGCCACTGTTCGTGATTTACAAATTTTTACAAAACATTGCTTAGGCTAGTTCTCATAATTCAGAGGAAGAGATAAGGTGGCCAACATATCTTCTTATAAATCCTTCTGTTCAAGATGTAGCCATGACTAAAGGAACTATGATTAATTTTTTTTTTTTTTTAGCATACTGGAAAATTGAAAATAATTTATTAGAATAGTTACCAACATATGGTGTGACTTTTTACAAATGGTCCGGCACATCTGCCAGGGAAGTGAGTTGTAGCTTACAAAAGTTGGATGATACAAGCTATCTGCCAAGAGATGAGCAGCAAATGTGGGAAAACAGTTTCTGAGTCAATACTGCAATGAGTTTCAACTTTAAAGGGTATACCTAATTAGGCAAAATGAGATCAACAAAGCCTTTGTAGCTTGGTGAAACTTCTCACTCTGAGAGAGTCTGAGGTTAGCCTCTGGCTGCTCCTGCAGTGTACTTCTGTTACGCTTCTCAGTAGCCCTTCCAAAGCACTTTTCCATTTGCTAAAATTACTCCAACTGGTTTTTATCTTCTTGTCATGCTAGTCAGCAATGCTGCTGTGTATCCAATAGCTTAAAGGGGCTTAAAAGTTTCTATTAAGTCAAATAAAACCTGTAGCTCAAAAATAATTAGCTAAAATCCCTCATTATATTTTGCTATGAATCCTTTTTTCCTTTTTTTTAAAAAAGTCAATAGACAGCATACTAAAAATAAAGCTGGCTCTCTTGCTTTTTCATAACTTGGTATTGACAATGAGGATCAATATACCCCACAGGCTAATAGTGCAGAAAAAACACATAATTTACACATAAATGCTGAATAAAAGGCTAAACAGCATATGTTTTTCACATCAGAACTATAAGAAATTTGTTTTGGTACTCTAAGTAAGCGTCTATTGCCCTGTCATCCTACATTTTTAAGTCAATGTCAAGTTGGCAGTGCACCAAGGGAAATGACCGTCTGAAAAAGGAGGCTGAACTTGTGCCACTTGTATCCTTCCCCTTGGGCCTGCTGCTGCTTCACTGCAGCGAGAGGCCTGGGAAATGGGGCTGCGACTGCGGTGGCACCAGAGCAGAGAGGGCAAAGGGGGCCCAAACCTGCTGGCTCCCTGCAGGGGCACCGGGAAGCGAACAGAGCGTTTCTCACAGGCTGAGACACTTGGGCTCCCTTCCTACCACAGCCATTAACCTCTTCCCATCAGCCTGCACAGGATTAAACCAACAAGAAGCAACCACAAGCTGACAAGGAGGTGGTCACTGCACCCCACTTGGTCACTTGCTGTTTCTGGGAGCGTGCAATCACAGCAACATGTTAAGACTTCACTGTGATCACCATTTAACAAAAAACATGTTTTTGTATACTGAGTCTTCTTAAGTGTTCATATACTGTCCAGCTTCTTCAGGATGAAAGGAGTGATCCGCAGCAGCGCGACGTAGATGAGGAAGTTGCGGACGGAGGTGAGGTCCCTGACCCAGGGTGCTCCTCTCCAACTATGGAAAACACAGGAGAAAAAAACCCTTTTCTTTCACACACATTATGATCCATATATGCTAGTAAAGTGTGTGCTAGCTTTTCTATATACAACTACCCCTTGTAAGTACATCCCTTTAGATTTTGGTCTGTAAGGATCCATAAGCAGATAAAGAGGACAAAGAGCAGATGGACCTTCCGTATACAGTTGTTTTGAAGTTAAGCACTAAGAAACATATGCCTTATTGATCTATGCTCCAACTCTTGCATCAAAACAGAGGAAAAATAGTTCAAGCAAGCCCCTAGCCTTGGAAAAGCAGCCAGTAAATAGCATTTTCTTCTCCCTGGCAGTGGCCAGATGCGAGGAAGCACACAAAGACTACAGCATCATAGGAAAGTCTGACCCTGAATCCACCTACTCCCAATCAAATACACAGAAGGGTTCCGTGGCCACGGTGGCAGAGCCAACAGCAGCATTAAAGCTATTTCATTTTCCTCCCTTGCTTTCTGCACCTTTTCTACTTTCACTTAGTGAAAATTGCGTGGTTAACACACCTAAGGCTTGGCAGAGCAGTAACAGATCCATACCACCCACTATAAAGTTAAATAAAAAAAACCACACTGAATTTCTCGATAAGTGAAAACTCAGTAGCAATTCATATTTTACAAAAAATGTACTTCCCAAAACATGTATATATTTCTTACATTTCTTTAATCATGAAGGAGTCTCAAGAGAAAAATCAAGGTACCAGAAAGCAAATCAGAGAATCATTTTGCAAAGTACGAGGGGAAAAAAAAAAAAAATCACTGATCACTCCAGTTAAAAGTAAATAAATGCAATGGAAAAAAATTAGGACCTAGGAAAAACAAGGTAACACAAAAAATTTAAAAAATAAATTAAAAATCAAAACCAATGCCACCACAGTACTCCCATGAAAAAGAATCTCAACAGCAGACACTCTGCTAACCACCTTCCTCTTGTGAGCTGCCTGCATTCTGCCTACAGTCCTCCTTATAGGAAGGGGCACTTCCCTTCTGCCCGTCTAGGATCCTTCCACGTTGAAAATTAGTGCCTGACAGTTTTCAATACTGTAATTTTTTTAACCATGCTTGTTGTTCCTCTACTTCAAATCATGATTTGCTCTGTCAAGCAATCCTGAAACAAAGGAAAAGGCCACATCTCTACTATTCAGCATGTTCCAGATGTGCAAACCTCACCCTCTCCATTGCCTGCACGTTCACCTGGGCATTTGCTTACTCACGCTAAACCATCCCAAGGTTCAGCTGCCCAGCTTCTGCCACAGGCTTGCTCTCTGCTACCAGCATTCCCCTCTGCAGCAAACAGGGCTTCCAGCAAGCAGAGAAGAATCTGTGGGGAGAAGGCATCATTTTTGCTTCTCTTTCTTTATCAGTGCTCCGAAACATTTGCAGAAGCTCCAACCGTATTGCTGTAATAATCCCGTACACCCCAATGAGTAAGAAATAAAATATTTGGTGAATGCAAGTTTGGTAGGCAACTTGCAGAAGTGCACAATGCAGCTTCCACCGACGCTCTGCCAAAACGGGCGCCCAAAATCGTGCATCCAATACCGTGTATCACAGAAACACGTTCTTCCAACCTGCCCTTCATCAAGGCTGCGGGGTCCACAGCTAATTAACAGGCAGTGTCCTGCCACACTTCTCTGCTGCAGGCACACTTACCAGACCTGCTGCTTGCTGGTTTTAGCAGTGTTTATTCCCGAAGAAATCAGCTACATTTCATCAACAGAACAAACCATAACCTGCGACTGTAATGCATACAGAATATTATTTTCCGTGAATGAGCTTCATTTACTTGTGGTGAAAACCATGAGCTAATCACTTAAAAAAAAGGAAAAAACAAGCCTTACAGAAGTCACGACTTTAAAGGGCACAGATGAAGGACAGATTTATCCTTCCATAACGCTAAGTGGGTAGAAAAAGCTGTACATGCTGTCAACAGAAAATGTCCAGCCCTTACCAATTAGGGAAGTAGATTGGTAAATGGAAAGCATCAGCTTTGTGTGCCATCAGGGGGCTCTGGTTGGATGGACACCCCCCCAGCTGATGATAGGCTTTTGGCTGCTCTATCTGTTTTCCAACTGCGTTCCCTACTGATAAGGGAGAGGACAAAGCGACACAGATGAGATGAATATAGCCTCCCGAAACCATCAACAGGTCTTTGTTACCTGGAGACAAGACATATCATTTTACTGATAGCACAATAACATAGGTGAGGTGTGAGGGGGGGAAAGCTCATTGAAAGTATAATGCTATAAATCCTTATGATTTATGCTAAAATAAGTGACTGACAGCTCCTCTGAGGCTCTCTTTAGATTTAATGGGCTCCTCACAGACACGGCTTTTTAAATTTCACAGATGCCTGTAGCCAGCCCTGGTACTGGCAACTGTCTCCTGCTGTAGGAGGATGAGCTGAAGCAGATGTGTACTTTCACCAACGGGAGAAATCAGCATCACCGTCGTTTCTGAAAGTTTTGTCTTTGCCTGCCTTTCTTAACCCGTATGCTGAAAATTAACAAGTGTGTCAGCAGCACAAACTGCAAACTATATATAAAAAGAGTTAGTGTTACACAGACGATTATTCAGTGGTGAAACACAGACACACAGATATGGAAATATGTAAGGCTGGTGTGACTTCAGTGCCCACCATTTCTACTTGTGGATATTACTGACATGTGCGATGGTATGAAACGCTGCCAAATATCGGGGTCTGTTTCCACCTCATATGTATTTACATATATACGTGCATATATAAGCTAGCATCTGATGTGCTATTACTTTTCTTCTTTGCATGAATTCTTCATTGTTTTTACAAAAAACTGCCGCTCAGATCTGGTGGATGGGCTCACAGCTTACAATGATTTTCCAATATAGTATAACATTAGAACGTATAGGTACTGTCCAGTTATTGAACAAATTGCTCTAAGTCTCAGCTGCCCTCTGGAGAAAACCATGAAAGGTTAGAAAATGCTAAGTATGCTTCCTAGTCATTTTTTAAATTAATATGCGAGTTACTTTCTAGAATTTTAAACTGTAGGCATTGCTTTCTGTAAATACAGTGTTGCTATAAAGTTTAAAAGCAGCAGAATACATTGTAAGGCCCATCTGTAATTCCAAAAAGGGTACCAAAGAGTTACTGTAAGCACATGAAAACAGAAGCAATATCGACATTCAATCTTTCAAATATTTATGCACATATTTATCTTCAAGAACAAGGAGTCCCACAGCATGAGGATGAGGGCACAAAACATCAGCGTTACTACTAGAAAACAGTTGTGCTGACTAGGCTTCCCTCCCTATTATTATACATATTGTGGTAGCTTCCTGAAAGTCCAGGACCCCATTTGTAAGATAATAAGGATCCCAGCCCAACCTTCAGGGGAGCACTTCGGGACCCCATGGAGCCACTGTTACTTCCAGAGCGTAACCCCTGCTCAGTGAGCCCCCCAACTCCAGGCATGCAGCACGTGCCTCTGCCACAAATAAAACCTGGTACGTGGTTTGCAGGAACAGAGAAACTTTGACTACCCGGGTAATACACTATGCTGGCTTTAGGGAATACGTTCACTACATGCCAATCATTTTGACGTAGTCCTGAACAGCAGTATCAGAAATGATAGCAGCTGCACAGACTTGGATGCTTGTAATTTTAGATTTCGATGTGAATGGTTGAGTAAACAGCAATTCCTTCAGAGTAGCCCACCTCAGCTAGATGTGTGGCTTCCAGCGCAAAGTGGCCACACTTATGCTGTCATTGAAACTCTGTAAACACATATCTGGGTGTGAAAGTTGGCCACTTTCTCTAAATAACTGTCAGAAACTCTTCTCGGAGAAGGCAATCATGTTTTAGTTAGCATGACAGCTTCTGCAGTGCATTATGCCCTTGTAAACTGCACTAATGCCCAAGTGCACTTTTAAGTACAGTTCAACATGCTGTTTTGACCTACACTTTTGGGCCATAATTACCAATTTCCTTACCTAGGCGCTGCTGCTGCTGCCCATATCGCCACCTCCCCCTGAGCAGGAACATAGAAGACAGGTCTCCTGAGTTGTTATTTTGATTTGTGGCAGGAGCTTTTACCTGTGCTCTGCTAGTTATCCATTTTTCGATGCTAACCATGTACTCAGGGCATTACCATTTTGCAACAACCATCAAAGACAAGGTGTTTGCTACATAGCCCACATGTTGGCCAAGCACACAAGCTACTGCAGCACCAGGCTGAAGCAGATCGCCTACTGAAGGGCAGAGCCTTCGTGCGCATCTTTATACCACAGTACTGCAAAGTAAATGAGAGGTACCTTGCTTCTTTCCTAAGAGCCATCTTGTGTTTTCTGCAGATGACAGCATTCGCACAGGGCCCGGTGAGGGACTGCTTCAGCTTTTGGTAAGTTAAAAGCATCCCGGAGCCAGTCAGTCACAAGTTGTCCTGCTGTGCTGTGGCTCTCAAAGCCACCATGCCCGAGGGGGCTCCTGGAGCACCCACTACCTACAGCCCTTTCTAACCACTCCTCTGGGTCAAGAGGAGTGCAACTGTGCTGGATACTTGGCAGAAAACACTTCTGAAAGGCCAAAACAACCTCACAGCTACTTCAAGCCATCTCTTAGTGTCAGGAAGGGTGCTAGGATGGCTCAGTGGGGCAAAGGATCTGGCCCACAAAGCCAAAAACTTGTTATTCTGTCTTTTGTGAGGAAGCAGAATGATTTTAATAGTCTCCAGCTTCTGTAAAAACGTGCACTAATTAGCACACATATTTTAAAAAATGCTCCTATACCTAATTATTCTGAAGAAATCCTGAAAACTAATTATTAGTTCTGGAATCCTTTTTCCTTTTCGGAGCCAGATGGTGCCCTCCCTAAAATACCAAGGCTAGAGAATTATTTATGTGAGCTTTGACCATGCCTGAACAGCTCAGGGAATGATGTATGTTTTTAGTGCCCTGATACTGACAACAACCCTTTTTACTTTAAATTAATGGGAAACAAATGTCACACAGTGAAGATAAAAGTGACTTTGCAAAGTTGTATTCTTTAGAAGTTGCCTATTTAAGAGACCAGGGTCCTTGCAGAAATGTCAGTATCGGCTTGTCTGACAGAATGGAGGGATGCCATGGCACGTGCGTGGGCTCATGACACGTGCATAGTACGGGTTGTGTGTGCATGGGGGGGAATCAATAGTATTTGGGAAAATGTATCTAATTTTAGGTTGGTCTTAATTGGGTCTCGCAAGAAAAACCCAAAAAAACCAACCAAACAAAAAAACAAAACCAAAACCCCAAACCCACCCTGAAATTCCACAACACAAAACCAACCAACCAACCAGAATAACCAAAGCCACCCTACAGCAAAGAGCTGCTGCCTTTACTTTCTCATAGGTATAAATCAGCTTTTTAGGCTGATTTGCTTTAACTTTTTAATAGGCCTTTTTTTTTTTTTCCTTTAAATGCATTTGATATGCAAATTTAGTCTGAAAGACAGATGTTCACAGCCTAAACCAAATCCACAGAATTAAGTGACAGCAGTGAAGAGGCTGGGGTTTGAGATCTGGTGCAGGCACCGGGTGTCGCCCCTCTGGAGCAGGGCTTCAGCACAGCCCCTGCTCACCAGCCGCTCCCCAGTCGTGCCTTCCCGCCAGAGCACGATGGGGACCTTTGAACAGGAACCCACAGCTTCTGTGCACGAGGACCGTGAAACTGGACCTTCAGAAACAGCGCTTGGAAGTACCCTTTTAAAAGAAGTCAGTAAGAGCCTAAAAATAGCAAACTTCCCACTTACAGATTACTGTTTTCACCAATGGATCTGAACACAGTTTCCCATGGACATAACAGCTATTACACTTATTTTAAAACGGCAAAGCAAAGGTCCGCAGACAGGCAACGCCTTGCCCACCACGGACGAGGAGGTCTGCCAGCTGCGGCAGAGCCGGGACAGGTAGGAAGAAGCCATGGACAGCTGGCACAAAGAAGCTTTGAATTGGGTGACAGACCACCGCGCTGCAGAGTTGTAAGAGGGTTTCTGCAGCACCATTCACTTTATACCCTTGGCATTATCCTAAGACACCGTTTAATAAGCACCAGGCCTCTGCTTTGAGGCTGAAATACCAACAAGTCCCTAAAAGTAGCTTCGCACCTGAACTTGCCTTCTGTGCACCAACAGCTGCTCCAAGAATTATTTTTCCTCTCTAGACAGTCCATATAAGTATCTGAAATTGGCTGCTGCAGTATTGAAATGAGTCCAACATAAAATTTATATCCATCATAGCTATTTAAAAAAAAAAATCCCTCAATACATTAAGTACTCTACAATCAAAACAAGGCACCTTAAATCAAGTCGAATGCATCTGAGTAGGTTTTCATCACCTAGATTTATCTTAGGTACATGTCATTTCTTTCTCATTAAATTGCAATATGAGCCATTTTGTACATATAAAAATATTAAAACATATTTTCTTCTCAAAATGACTAAAATGTGATAAAAACCCACACAATACTCCCCTTGCCTTGATGTTTTCAAGAGAGTACCATATGGCTTGTCTGAACCCCTCAACAAGATGTTTCCTGAATTCAAAGCTAATTTGATTTGGCAGCTCCTTCTTTAGAAAATGTAAATTCCCATAACATATTTTAGATTATATTCTATCTAACAAAACATTGTTTTCTTGTCATAAGTACGAGCGAGCTTTTACACATTTTTCATTTTCACCGTGAAGGTAAATTCTTCAGCTTTTCGAACTGGCAGTAGTAGTATTTTCAAACACAGTATCTTTGCACATTACTGATAAAGTAGTATTTCATAGCTGCCTCCATGCCTCCCCTATATCTCACGATATTAGGCACTCCAAAGATCTGGAGTATGTGGTAATCTCTTGCTTAAACAGCCATGCAATCTAAGTGAGAAAGAAAAGCAAAGGAGGAGAACAACCTTATGGAAAACCCTTTTCTTCTACAGGAAAGCTGCAGCACAAAGCTCTCGTGACCAGTGGAGGCCAGGCAGGCAGCATTTAGCAAGATTATTACTTTGGATTGGGTTCTGTACAGTCCTGCTAAAGAAGACCATCCTTCCTAGGACTCGTCTCACACACCAAAGAAAGAAAATCAACAACTAAAGGCTCTTCTGGAGAAATCAGCTTATGAGCCCAAATGAAATGCAGTAAATGTTTTGGTTTTGTCCTGGATTTCGCACCAGGCTGAGACCCTTTATTTCCCAGGATGGATACAATAGCTACAACAGAAAATGCTATTTAGTTACATTTCAGAGAACAAAGTAGTTTGTCATCATAGGATGCTTCTGTACTCCTGAAAATAACTGCAATACAATTAGTACGATACACCTTCTTTAGAGCTGTGTGAGAGGCTTTTCTTTCCACCTAAAGAAAATGAAGCTCACATGATTGTGCTGCTCATGGATACCCCACAGGAAACCAACGGGTTAAGAACCTGACAATTTCCATTACAGTTTCACGAAAAAGGTTGGAAAACAAGCTTAAATTGACAGGCTACCAGAGCATCCACCCTGCGGAGCAGTTCGCAAGGCTCCCAGGAGGAGATAAGTTTCCACGAGAACCTCCACCAGCTTCATCTCCAGAGGACACACTGATGGGCATGAAGCCACAGAAGAAATAGCCATTATTAGCTCTACTGCCCCTCATTTATTTAGTAACCTCCCCGCACCTCTATTTTCAGTCGTTTCTGCGGAGAAGGGTAATCTGGCACGAGCCGTCAGGCTGCACAGACGCAGCTCTTGGGGAGGCAGGCACCGGGGAGCGTCAGTCCCAGCGTAACGGACAGACAGATACAAGGGAGCGTCAACGCCCTCCCCAGTATTTGAAGAAGTCATCCAGCTGAAATGATCCTTAACACACAAGGTGAGCTACGAGACCCGTTTTTCTCTCCCCAGCTATTAAGGGACAAAACAGTGGTATATTGTTCTAGCAGAAGTATCACTTCATTAAAGCTATTATTTGAAAAGCAGGAAAACAACAGGAAAAAAGGCCTTCCATCCCAAAAGCGACATTCAGAGAATTCAGAGGGCACAGCAGATTTGCTGTGTCAAGGCACAATCCTAGCTAATCTTACAGAAGCAATTCTAATTAGGCAGGAAATGAAGAACAGTTCCTTTCAGGCTGGCTGAAAGAACAGTGGATTGATTTAAATCAAATCACTGATTTTAATCATGGATTTAAATCAACCAAGCAGGACACCTTGATTTAGCTCATCAACTTTAATCTTGTACTTTTTACTTTTTTCCTAATGAAAGCTCATTCATTTTGTTACGACAACGTGGGGAATTGTAAAAAGCCCACGCTTTATGTTAAAATGGATTAAAATTTTTATTCTCACTCAACATTGATGACTTGTGACTACAAAGCTTGAGCTAACTAATTTTTTAACAGCTAAACAGCATCACTTTTTAAAAGAATTCAAATTTGAAAGCTCATACATGGAACACATTGCAAATTATTTTAGAGAGAGTAATAAATTTAGACTTTGATAAATATAAGGGATTCCTGCTTAGTTTTCTTCTAAAACTATATAGGTGAAACACTCCAAACTTGCAACATCATAGTTTTATCTTTTTGTGTCAAAGAACATTGGAGCCCAGTAAAAGGTAATGCATTACATTATTGAGGGACACCTATTGATAGTATGAAACCTGATATTACCCAGCATTCTTTAAAAAAAAATAAATTAAAAAAGCTGTCAAGATACTATTGTGGCCTCTGCTAATAAAAAAAAAAAAAAATGAGGAAAATGTTGGTGCTGGGATCACAATGCTGAAATATTCAGAGTACTTCAAGTACAAGATACAAATCCTGATTAGATGCCACCCAGGAAAACCAAAAAAGCTTTATAATGTATTGTGGGGAAAAATAATGCAAAGCAAGTATCAGCAGAAAGGAAGAGGACAGGTACGGACAGCACTTGTGCTGGGAAAGACCCGAAGGTGACAGAAGAGCAGAGTGGATTTCATGTGTAGGTACTTGTAATACAGTGTGGCAGCAATGTAGGGAACAACAAAGTGTATTAATAAGAATGAAAAAAAGAGACATTAAAATGATTTAAGGGATGTTTCAGGAGAGTGGGCTGACAGACACATTACATGTGGTACGCCCAAGCATTACT